GCTGCTTTCCTAATGGGTGGTCCTCAGCATTTATATCTGTGCATGGAGCTGTTCTTCCCCAGGTACAAGAGTTTCTACTTGAACTTCACGAGGTTCCTGACAGCCCATTTTTCCAACCCGTTGAAGCTCTGGATGGCAGAAGAATTCACTGGTGTATCAGCCACTCCTCCCTCTTTTGTGTCATCAACAAACTTGTTCAGGGTACACCCTGCTCCACCAGCCAGGTCATTAAAAAAGATATTCAGAATTAAGGAAGTGTGCCGGAAAATGTATTTTTGGCTTAACTGCTCCATCACCTCCCCAGGGATCAAAGTGAAACTGCTTGGCCTGAAGTTCCCTGGGTTGTCCTCCTTCCCCTTTCTGAAGATAGAAGTCACATTTGCTTTTCTCCGGTCTTTGGGCATTTCTCCCAGTGAGTGATCAAAGATTACCAGAAGTGGCTTCACCATGATATCTGCCAGCTCTCTCAACACTTGTGGGTGTATCCTGTCAGGTTCCATGGACTTAATCATGGACAGTTTACTTTTATGTTCACTGACCTGATCCTCTTCTGACAAGGTGACATATTTCTTGCTTCAGCCTTCCCCTTGCTCTTTGGAAATGTAATTTCTGAAGGCTGATCATGACAATAAGGTCTAGGGCAAAGGCAACATTCAGTTTAATCAAGTCCTCTGTCTCATTAGGGAATGATCCCATATTTTCCTTAGTCTTATATTTGTCTCCCATGTACTTACAGAAGCCTTTCTTGTTCTTGAAATCTCTGGGCAGATTCAATTCCATTTGAGCTTTAGCTTGATCCCTGGGTTCTCAATGTTTCTGTATTCTTTCCACTTACTGGTTCTTGCTTCCACCCTCTGTATGCTTCCATTCTGTGTCTGAGCATTGCTTAGATCTCCTTTTCATCCACAGAGTTTTCCTGGCATTTTTGCCTTCCTTTCTGTTCATGGGATGGACTGCTTTTGAGCTTGTTGAAGGTGATCCTTAAATATTAAATGACTTTTTTGAGTCTCTCTTCTCCCCAAGACCTTACCTCATAGAATTTTTCTTAAACAGATCTTTGAAGGGGGCAAATCTGCTCTGCTGAAGTCCTGGGCTTTGAACTCAGTTTTCCCCTCCTCCCTGCCCTCAGGATTTTGAACATCTCATGGTGTCTGCCACCAAGAGTGCCCTCGACTTTCACATCTCAACAAGCACCTCCATGTTGGTATGAAGTCCAGCAGTTCACTTGTTCTTGTTGCCTCCTCTTGTCTCTCAGAGGAGGAAGCTATCAACAACACACTCCAGGTGCCTGGATTGCTTATGCCTTGTTGTCTTGTCCCTCCAGCCAGTGTTGGGGTGGTTGAAGTCCCTCATGAGGACCAGGGCCTAAGAACTGGGGGCCTAGTGAGGTGGCCTATGGCAGACACCCAATGTAACATCACCTTTACCTGTCCTCTATTATGTGGTAATAAGGGTTAATCCGAACCCTTATGTGCTCATCTCCCTTCTCCATCCACCCCCAGACTGAGCTCCCCACGCTCCAATTGACCTCTCACAATGGGCAACTCCCCCTCCTCACCCTGTCCTTCATACAAGACAAACATTCTTCCATGGCAGCACTTCAGTCATGGGAGCCATCCCACCGTGTCTCCCTGGTCCTGACAAGATCCTGGCCCTGCAGCTGGATCCCTGGCTTTACTCCCCACACTTTACTCCCCACACTGCCTCCATGGGCACTTTGGAGAGGCACCCCTGCTCGCTGACTTCCTGAAGAGGATTTGGGGGATTATGTTGTACCCAGAGCTATGATCATTTTTGATGTAACACAGTTAAAGCTAAAGACAATTGAGTAATAAATGGCATATCAGGATGATTTAATAAATAAACTAAATCCATGAGCTAGAATACAGTGGTTTATATGAAAACAATAAATATTTTTAGCATTAACAGTATCTCTTTTATTTTTTGCCTGAAATTAAAGCCTGATGTTGGCAGTTCCCTATAGAGTAAGAAGCAATTCTTTAAGATGAAGCTATCTTAATTCAGAATCGATTAAACCCAGCTCATTAACCAGAAGTAAACGGCACAATGCCCGGCGGCTCTCGCCCCGCAATGCCAGCATGTGGCGCTGTCTCCTGTGAAAAAACAGCCCCTGGCTTGCGGAAAACCTCATTTGAACATTGTCAGACTCTTCAGGAGCACAGGCAGGAAAATAATGCGGATATTTTTAGCACAAAATTAATACTCTGCACTCGCAAAAATTTGTTAGCACTAATTCTACTATTTCTAACACAAAAGGAATATGTAATGCAATTTATTGAGAAAAAAAGAGTGAGCAAAACATATGAATGTATTCATGCATTTATTTACCTGGTTAAAAAACATAATTATATTTACAGGTTGGTTGAAATGTATACATCATTTATCTCCAAGTTTCTTTATTCTGTAGCCAAATTATTAACGTCTTTAAAATGAGTATATTTACAAACTTGCATATCTACCCCCCTTTGGTCTAGCAGACAGTCCACAGTGGGTTTTAATTACCTACTAAATTCTTGAGCTACCGAGCCTGTTTCATAATCTCCACATAGGGAACAGGACCTGTGTGACTACAGTTTTACTGGAAGTGAACAGCCAGTCTTTTGTGTGCTAACCAAGTCAGCCCTTACTGGGAAGGAATTTAGTGACTACACTGATGATCTCTGTAACCATGAACTTTCAAACAAAAGCAACTGAGCAAACAGTGTATTCACTAACTTTTTAATCCCTAAGGGCTCTATGCCTTTGCTACCAGACTTTTTAAAACAAAAGAAACAGGGTTCATACCCTTTTACTTAAAGGTGGAGTTTATAATATATGACATAAAAGGCATTAGTAGTAACATGGAGAGGATATATCCACTGAATTTTCTGTCTTTTCTAGATTTGCATCTGATTTACAGAAAGTTACATATTTTTTTCAGGCAGTTCTTATTATCTATGGTAAAAGTTCAATGCATTCAGTGTACCTGTAAACACTATGAATCAGCAAAGCAATTTTCTTTTCATGACTCAAGGAAAAAGTTGCAAAAGTTTTAGTCAAGGCTTACGAGAAACTATTTAAAAGATTCAGCTAGAAACTGGGAAGTCCTGAACTTTATACTGAGGCCTGAATGGGGTCACCACTATTTGTCATAACATTGCTAAGACTGTGGATTTATTTCTGTGTTGTTCTGTCATGTGCTGTTTTTACTTTTTGAACATAGAGATGCTGGATCAGGCAATGTAACCAGTTTTCTAGTGGTGAGATATCAGTCAGAATTAATAAAAACATTTGTGAACCCCTTATGATGTCTGCTCACTACAAGAGGAAAGGTAACCATTCCAGCTGCAAAAATGAGGAAGCTACACAGAACTGACAGAATTGACAGCATTCACAGAATGACTAGGTTGGAAGAGACCTTCAAGATCATCTGGTCCAACCCATGTCCCTTCAGGAGGTGCAGCTGAGATGGTCTCCTTTGATGAACCAGGGCATTTCCAAAACAGCTGGCAGAGTATGGTGAGCAGCGCAGACAGCAGGGCACCCTCTGTGCCAGGACGTGCCAGGTGACCTCACCTTTTGGCAGCTGTGCCCCCTCAAGCATCCAGGGGCACAAACTGTCAGCTCCATTTGGTAACACTGGCAGGGCTGACTCTGGCCTGCTGGCTTCTCTCAAGTGAAGATTTCTGACAGCTGACAAGAGAGACCACAAGCTGCAAAGTAGCATCTAAACTAAAATGTGCCTTGCTTTTTGGTGTATTTGTATGTTAGCAATACTTCTGACAAGAAATCTTTTCTTAATCTGTGCCTTAATTTTGTGGTAAAACACTAAAACTATAGCTAGGATATATGGGTAGAATTTGACAAGTGATTTCCTAGTTGGAAATAGGAAATCACGATACTTTTTTATAGTTTGAATTTCTGATATATAAGTGCACAAAATATGTATGCATATAGCCTGGTGAAAATAACATTGGGGAATATGTTTTTATTTCACATTTGTATACATATGAACATTTGTAGAAAAATTATAGCCATGTAAAATTAGTACCAGCCAGAAGGGTTGAAGATCTTGCAAAATTTTATGAGATTTTTAGATGATTTTTCTAGTGAACAGTTATACTTGAACTTGTTCCAGTAAAGATGCCTCCTGAAGTCTTTTTAATACAGGGTTTGATAACCACAGTAAACTGCTACTTATAGTAGTAACTGATCTAGTACTAACTCCTGAAATGGCCTAAGAGTTTTAGCTTATTTCAGCTCAGGAGGCTCAATCCACAGGCTCCAGTGAGAAGTGATCCACTCGCTCCTTCTGGCAGCACATACTTGAGCCGGGAGGAGTGCACGCAGGGCGCACAGGGAGAGGAATGTGGTAGGCAACCTCTGCGCTACATCCTGCGGCACACGCTCCGGGCCCGGAGCCGACGGCAAGAGGGAAAGGATGTTAGGCTGATATTTACTGCATGGGGGCCATTTTACAGCTCAAGGTGCTGTTTTAATCTTTGCACCTATTACACAGAGATATTTGCACTAATGACTTGTAGATTTTCATTTTGAAATAACTCTTCAAAGGAGACTATGTGTTTCACCTTGGGACGAGCGCTCACAGCAGCGTTACTCTGCAAGAAACACCGAGTTTCAAAAAGTGATTTCCCTCCGTTCTTGCTTCCCTGTCCTTTTATTTCTTCTTTTAAAAATCAATTTTTGAAAAGAGACTTAACCAGGGTGTTCCCTGGCGCCCAGCCATCCCCACGCCTGTGTGTGGGGACAGGTCGTGCGGCTCCGCGGCCGCCCGTGCCCGCAGGTGGCGGCGCGCGGGCGGCAGGGAGGCAGCGAGGGCGGGCAGGCTCGGTCGCACGGAGCTGCCCGCGGGCACGGCCGGGGCCCGCCCGCCGCTGCCGGCGCTCAGCGCAGCCAATGGCGCGGCTCTGCCGGCATCGGCCCGCCCGCTGCCTCCGGGGGAGGGCCGTGCGCCGGGGCGGGCGGGAGGGAGGACGGGGGTGAGGGGAGTTGAATGATTGAACTTTCTTGTGTAGTTTCTGCGGCGCGGAGGTGTCCGTCCCCGGCGCAGCCCGGCACCAGCCCAGCAAGCGGCAGCCAACTCACCCCAGCGCCCGCAGCCCCCCGCGCCCCCCGGCCGCCCCTCTGCCCTCCTCTCCCGCGGAGCGATGGTGCGGAGGGCGCCCGGCGTGTCCCTCGCCCTGCTCCTCTGGGTGACGGCCGCCTGCGGCAGCCCCGACGGGCCGGGGGCCGCCGCCGCCGCCCGAAGGCAGGACGAGGCTTTCGCCGCCGCCAGATGCACCTCCAGGTGCCTGAGCCTCCAGATCACCCGCATCTCCGCCTTCTTCAAGCATTTCCAGGTAGGGGCATGGCACGGCGCAGGGAGCCTCTGCCACCGTCCGGAGAGCGGGTGTCCCCCGGGGCGCGGGCGGAAAGGACAGCCGGAGTCGGGGCTGGGGCTTGGCGAACTTGGGGACGGCAGCCCCAGGGGACGGGCAGCACCTGGAGGCGCCGGGCAGGTGGGCACGGCCCCGCGGCAGCGCCGAGCCCCGTCGGTGCCTGTGGGTGCCGGCCGGGCTCCCCGCCTGGCGGGTCCTGGGGCACCGGGCACGCTCTGCCCTGGCTCCTGGCAGGTGCCCAGCGCTCCCGGCCGCTGTCTCCAGCGGTGTCCGGGGCGGGCGCGACGCGGAGCTCCCGGGCCGGCGGTGCGCTCTCCTGCCGAGGGCGGGCGGCGATCCCGCGGGCTCCGCCTGCCTGCGCGCCGGTGCGCCAGCCGGCCGCCGCAGGTGGCTCGCTTCCCCAGCCCGGTGGGAAAGTTTGAGCCTGTTCTTTAAGAGCGATAATCGTGAACGTGTAATACTTGGCTCTGACCTCCTGGAAGGTGAAGGTGGGGGTAACGCTGTGGTGGTTTTAGGTTTTTGTGGTTTTTTTTTTTTTTTTTTTCCCTGGGACAGAGAGGCACATCTTTGGCTAACGGGACGAATAGGGATAAAGTGGGAGAAATGGAATTGAAGTGGCGGGATACCTGCGGGGCTTAAAATGAAAGCTTGAAGCAGTGCGGGGCTAGTGCAAGAGCAGCGGGTGTCTGCCCGTCCTTCCCCCTCTTCTAGTTACACACGCACCTTTCCCTTTCCCCACCTGTTCTTCACTGCGCAAATATTAAACCTCCTCGAATTCATCCAAATGACGGAAGCCCTCCCGAGCTCTGAGCCGTTCTCCGTCCCCAGAGCCGCAGCTCTTTGCGCAAAGGCAGGGCAGCTTGGTGCGGAGGGAACCCCCTCGGCCCTCGGGGACGCGCCGCTCGCTCACCCCAGCGTGCCGGTCCCTCAGGAACCGGGAACGTCCGGACGAGCGCCTTGGGTGAAGTTACGTTCGGGGCAAAGGTGTTGGCACCAAAGGCAGGTCTCAGAGGTATTTAAGCATAAACCGATTTAAAAAGACAAAAACAGAGGGAATGTTAAAGGAGAGCGGAGTGTGCGGTGTAAAGGCAGCAGGGAGTTGGTTGGCTGCCTGCAGCCGGGTTTGGGTTGAAGGCACCGGGCTTGCGACCCGAGCCGAGCGGAGAAGGGGTGGCCCTGCCCTGGCCTGGCCGCTGTCAGCGCTCCGTGCATCCCGGGATGGCCTGACAGGAGCATACCCATTAATATAGCTCATTATCCCGGAGAGCGGTCAGTGTTTTTTATTGCGTTGTCAAGCGGTTGTAAGTTACTTGTTTTACAGTTTCAGTGGCTAAAGAGGCAGTTTAGATCAAGCCAATTTCACAGCGAAACGGTTTTTTTCTTGTTTTTTCTTTTTTGTATGTTTTCTTGGCAAGATTTCTTTTCCAACGTAAAACTGCTGACAGAATGCACACTGCACACAATCGTGATTACATTTTAATTAGCTAGAGTAAAATAAGTAGGGAATTACTCAGTTAGGACTTGATAACTGGCTGTTTTTTTGTAATCAATTGAAAATCTCAGAGTTTTAACCCCAACCTGCTAAAGCACGTGGTAATTTATCTTAATTACTACGGATTAAACTCCTGTTAGACATGAAACGACTGTAATGTTTGGAAGATAAAGTGCTCTCGTTTATAAAAGTTAAGCTCTCCATTGTCTTATAATGAGGAAAAGGAGGAGAGTTTTAAAGTACATCAGGCATCCAGTGTTCTCACAGGAGACTGATAAAACAGTGTAGGATGTGCAAGTTTGGGTCAGATAATTCCATGTGGGCTAAAGGGCATGATGTTCCATTCCTTTCTCTGCTCCCTCCTTCTGGCCATTCCCCTCCCCTTTTCATCTCAACTGGTAGCAATTTCTGGAGTTCTTTTCATTTCAGATGTCCACTTATCTTGTAATCTGATTCAACCTTTGAAGCAAACTAAACACTAGCTCTTCCCAATCAGAGCAGGAAGGAACTCTAGTGTCTCCCAGTTAGGTAAGAATTGAAAGACTGACCCACTCATTTCTCAGCCCTGCTTTAGATGCAGCCTCAGTGGTGGGGGTCAGGGGGACAGCAGCTGGACATGCTGTGCAAGAGATGATGTCCCCAAAACTTCACAGAGACTTGATTTCACATAGTTTATGGTACTAAAATCACATTACTAACAACTTTTTAAAGAGAATCGGGTAGTATGAATAGGAAGTCTGGGTTAATTCTACACCTTCTGGCTGTTGTTTGAATGGCAGCTAATGTTTTTCCAACTTTTAAATGTTCACAAGGGATTTTAATTGATCCCCCCCAGAGAAGTTTCACCCATTTTTCTTTACTGTTCTTATTTTTTAAAGTTTCAAGAGAGGTATTCTTTCTAAAAAGCCTATTTATTAATTTACACTTGGGAAGCAATTCTAAGCCTATTTTAAGTGTGCATTGTCAGTAGACAATGTCAGTAGAAATTATTTGAACTGAGGCATAGGTCAAATAATATATTTTTTTATTCTATGTGGACTATTGATTTGGGCTCGAAGAAGAATTGGTCACCTAAATCAAAAATCTTTGATCTTCAGAATACTTGTTGGAGGGACACAGATGCCTGCTTATTCCTATAAAATCTCCATGGCTGGGGGGTTTTCCAGTTCTGGTGGTGTTGGGAAGTTTCAGGTAGAGGTTGTACCAAAGGATACATGTACCAAAGGATACATGAGAGTTATGCACCACATGGGTCCTAGAGCCAATGAAATGTGTGTCTTTTATATCTAGGGCCTATTTCCACGCCATGATCTTTCACAGTGAGCATGCTACACAAAGGCCTTTCATCCTAAGCAATCAAACAAAAAATTATAATCAGGAGGGGTCATAGTGGATTCTTCTTTTATATAAAAACGTATTGATTACATGCTCATCCACAGTAGAGAATTATGTTTAATCACTAAATGAAGAGACTTCAACATATCACTTCTGTCTTACTGGAATGTGTTCAGTAGTGGGCTTTAGCTTGCTCTGAAATTTTGCAGATGAGAGAAAGCATTTTGATCCCAACTGTGTAACTCAGGCCCCTGGACAGAGTGAAGCATTCATTGACCTGTAACCAGAAAGAGTAAGGGCAAAGAGAGCTCATCTCTTTAGCCTTATGTTCAGAGTACTTATTTTAAACCTTTTGGGTGTTGACTGTTTGGGTTTTGACTGCTGCAAAACATGTATGAGGGAGTAATTGGAGCATTCACTGGAGCCTGTTCATGCTCTTGGGTCACTGCCTTGATAAAGCAGAGTTCCTAATGCTGTGCTTCTTTTTCTCACTAAAACACCTGAACAGGGGAGGATGGCAGGAATGCTCTTCCAGTAAGCTGGAGCTTTACCATCAAATGGCCTGCTTAGGAGAAGGTGTAAATTTGATCCTTGAAGTCCTATATCATAATCAGCATTGTGTGCTTTTGGCTGTTATCTAAAAGACTCTGCCTGGGTCTTAGTATGGTGCCCTTATAGGATGGGCAGGGAAACTCCTCCTCTAGTCTGAAATGAGAGGAAGGACTAAGGTGTCTGGCTCCATAAGAAACATCAAGACTCTGAATCCTGTGTGGAAAAAGGCATACTATTTTTGGGACAGAAGTTGTACAGTGATGTCATTGGGCATATTCTTTCCTCAACATTTTCTTATTAAGGCACTTTCTGTCTGAGTGTTTTAGTTGATCTCCAGGAGAAAGGTACAAATTTTAATTTGATGTATTCAAAGTTTGTGAGTCTAGTTTTATAGTCATTTATCACAATAGATAAAGCCCCATGAAGATGAGATCAGTTACTGCACAAATTTTTTGTTTTTTTTTTTTTAAAGGGTATGGGTATAAACCAGGACCTCATACAGCCAGCTGGACAAGAGGCCTGAACTCTCAGATTAGTTTTGGTAGAACTTTTCTGCATATCCTGTCTATTTTACTGGAGTGAGACTAAACTCCTTGCATTGCTATCTGTGGGTGTAGCCTTTCCCATTTGTGATATTAGTTGTGGATGAACTTTTGTTTTGGGGGACCAGGCATGGCAGTGACCTTTTTATGTTTTGTTTTCAAGTTGAGTGAAAAAACAATTGGGATTTTAATCTCTGTTGCCAGCCATCTGAGACATGTTTTAAAACTGGCATGATTAAAATTTTCTTTGTGAATAAGACCTTGAACGTCACTGTAACTACTTAGGCTAAAAATGTTATGGTGAGCAAACTTTACTTTGAGCTGTGGACTTGTTGATCTTTGTCTTAGCTGGGATCTGTTGTAGACCTCTCAAGCTCAAGTGTCTTCCTGCATAATATGTGCAACTTGATAATTTACCCGAGGCACAGGACTGGTCAGTCTTGTTTACTGGGTCAAAAGCTGAGAGGGTGGTAGAACATGTCCTAGGAATTTGGAGTGGTTGCCAGTAAAATTGCCTGTGGTTGTGGTGTGGTGTCACTGCAGAGGTTACAGCCATATGCTCACAGAGTGTATGCTGAGGCTGAACAGCACCTCCTGGCCACTTGTTCTAGCATTTACCCACCCTTGCAGTAACAAAAAAGGTGTTTTCTCATGTTCAGTTTAAGATTCCCATATTTCACATGTGTCCATCACCTCTTGTGCTGTTACTGGGCTTCACTGAGAAGTGTCTGGCTTAATTTTCTTTACTCTCTCCCATCAGATACTTACAAACATTGATGAGAAACTATCAATGAGGCTTTTCTATTCCACACTAAACCTTCCCAATTCTTTTAGCCTCTTCTTATGTGAGAGATATGACTATTCCTTTTCTCAGCTCCCTCGACTAAGTCCATCTCTTTCCATGCAATGGGGGGCCCAATACTGGACCTAGCACTCTAGGTGTGGAGAAGTGACTAGAACATAGAACAGGATTGGCTACATTTTAAGGATATAATGCCTGCTAAATACTGTTTACTGATATCCATTTTAAGGATATAATG